AATACTTTTCCTCCATTCATTTGGCATTTTATTCGTTCTCAACACCTTGTTCAACAACTCAATCAGCCAGTCAATGCCGATCTCCCCCATGCACTTTCAAAGTTCATCCCAAAGCCTTTTCTATCTTCATCCTCTTCAAAGCTTCTTTCAATTCCAATATCCTAAAACATCTCTGACCTCCTAAACTTTAAGAGGCCTAACGGGAAGGCCACCTAACTACCTAGGCACCAGGTGGCGCTTTTCAGTACATTAGTATAAGGCTAAGAAGGCAGTTAGGACATCTAGCTTATTTCCTGAAATGCACTTGATGAGGAACATCTTAGACACCTAGGACTCCATGTCCAAGAGAAACATCATAGGCACATTTAGAACAAAATAGAGATGGTTTTGATTGTGAGAATACAAAGAGGAAATTGTTGCTCGAAGACTTTGCCAGGAAGAATAGACTAGATGTGGTTTTAATCCAATAATTGTGCTTCATGGCCACATGTGCCAACAATAATAGAAACTAAAAAGGATGGCCCGTGCAGTTTGAAATTCCTTCAGAGAAGGCGGGGGTGTGGAGTTCTCCATAGCATGAGACAACAATCTAATTACAAAATGAGATGAAAGGGATATCATGGAGGGAAAACATGCGGTATTTGGGGAAATTTGGCAGTCCAAAATTTCAGCTAGATATTGATTAAGGAGGTAGATCTAAGCAAGGTTTATAAGGAAAAGGATTGCAAACATAACAGTTGGTAGTTCTAAGACCACATGATAAGCTGGATGGGGGGCTTTAGGAGGTCTGCATTATTTTTTTCCTAGTTACGGGGAATGGGTCCCTTGAAGGATTCTTCAACAATTCTAGAGGTTCAAGGCAAGACGATCGCCTCTTTCACTTCTAGTGCCTTTGTTTCTAAAGCTTCTATTCATTTCATTTTTAACACGACGTATGCAGTTGTTCCTCAAGAGGGGACTAGAATGCATAGAACTGACGCACCATTGTGGAAGAAATTTTGGTCATCTATGATGCTTCCCTTGGTCAGGTAGAGCTACATGCTATGAGGTAGTGTTCCTTCGGCAGGTGAATTTTAATCAATGACCAGCCATGGAAATCAAAATCTTGGCGACCAAGTTTGAGAAAAATAGATACAAATGATGGGTTGTAAGTTGAAGCCTTTCCATGACAACCATCTCTGCTTCCCCTTTGTGTAAAAATGTTTCTAAGCGATGTTTGGGATCCAATTAAGGAAGCAAGCAGGACACCCTCATTAATGTCACACATTTCCAGTTTACCATACACCTCTAAATTATTGTAGGTTTGGCTTAATAACTTAAAGCAATCCACTTTGTAAAGTAAGCAAGAGGAGTATGACTTTTTGATAGGTGGAATGGGAGGAGATCTGCAAACCCAAGGCATGGGAGGGCGAAGTTGCTTTTTTAGGTAAATGATACTGGAGATCCAGGGAAAAGTCTAGGGGTTCTCAGTCCAGAATCATTATAAGGTACTAAAAAAGAATTGGACATTAAGGATTTGGATAAGTCTAGTGTGGTGTCAGAACCAGGCCTCTAACAGGCATTAATAAGGTAGGACCATGGTCCTAGAAAGGATAAGGTTTGGCTTAAGGATGGTAGTCAGGAAAAATCATCCAATACTTTGCAAGCAAGGTTTTCACACCTTGACAAACTAGCATATAGCTTGGGGAATATTTGCCAGGACAATTTTGGATGAAGGTATAGATTGGTGTCGTGTGCTCTGGGAGGAATATGAGGGGCATTTAAGTTTAGAGTTGCGATCATTATTGAGAAGACATGATATAAACCTTCGAAAGTTGGCGTCAATAGAAACACTATGTATAGGTATGGTATAGTTAGGTTATAAGGGTCTTTCTCTGTATGGGTCGCATAATGGTACTACCAAGAGTGCTTCCTTTTGGTTTTTCAGCCAGTATAAACAACATCCGGAAAGAAGATTATATCCAAATGCAATGATTCTAATCCTCAAACATGTGTAGAGAGGTGGCATCTAATAATCCTTTGATATTTTGCACTACTTTTCCACAAGGCAAATGTGGAGTTTATTTCTAGATATCCTTGGTGCATGATGAATGATACAAGTGTCAGAGGCAGTAATCATGGGTCCTTGTCTGCTCCTTTCTTCAAAGGAATCCTGTACTTTGGAGGGTTTTCCCATTAGCAATATCTTATGGTATTCGGAAAGAGAACAAGAGCACAATATTCAGCGGCATAAACACAAGCAGTGAAGAAGCTAAAGCAGAGCACTCTTGAGAGGCCTCAGAATGTCAACCCGGTGTTTCTTAGGTCCTCCAATGGTGGAGGCATCAAGCATATAGAAATGACATAACTATAGAGCATTATAGATTCGATGAACAAAGATACTTGACATCAATAACTTGTGAATGATATCCTATTGTTACATCTATAGAGTGCAAAGACATGACATCTGCGTTGGCACCTTGAAGATAACATATGCCAAACCCAAACTTGCATATTTTCCCTCATAATGGCATTAAATCAACTCAAATAGGGTCCCAAGGCCAGATTGAGAATTTGACGATTACTGTCACTACAAGATTAAAACAGAGCTCAAGTGATCAATTTATGTTTGGTGGGTCATCCATGCAATGCCATTCTCGTATGTTATAACATTATGACCAATGAAGATAATTCTGGTGGTGTGCGTACTTTCAAACAGTATCTGAGACATAATTTTAAACTAAAGAACTTGAACATCTAAGTTAGTTGCCTTACTCTCCAAGAACATGCATCTAGAGTGAGTTTCATGGTAACAATATAGTTCTATTGTAGAACTTTCACTTGATTTGAATGTGAAGGTCCCAACACATTGTAAAGAAAGCGGCTGCAAAATTTAATATTGTATATACAAGAACTTGGGGGGTTTTCTTTTGTCACACACTGAGCTAGACTTTCCATGTGTTTGAGTTAACATAACAGTTAGCAAGTTTGCTGTCCATCTCCAATGACCAATATTCGTGGAAGTTCATCGCTCTATCAACCCTATCAAGGAATATCGATCTTTTAAATCAAATGGGAGAAAAACTATTAACAAAGTAAGGAGAAAATATTCACCTTTTAGGACTCACTATTAACAAAGTAAGGAGAAAGTAAGGAGAAAATATTCAACTTTAACAAAGTAAGGAGAAAATATTCAACTTTAAATGCATTGACCCAGCTGAAGGTGCAAGCCTCCATGGAGATATATGTTTCAAATTGTATGAGAGATCAAAGTTGTAAGGACTTCCTCACTATGCTTAGAATTATCCCTAAGGTTTTCTTTTTTAAGCTACACCTAAGACATGCATCATTTATGTTTTACAATTGTCTCAAAGACTAAACATGAAAAATATAGAAGGATGTTGCATGAAGGTAGGCCAACATGTTTCAGAAACAGTAGTATCGAATATCTTGTTTGGGACTTTGGGTAAGTATTCATTTTGGACAGTAGTAGCTGGAACTTGAAAACGCAGCGCCACTTCCAAAAATAAATTCAAAGATAAACTACTTTGAGTTTTGCAGAAAGGAACATTCTAGAAGAATGACATTTTTGCATATAGAAAGACAACATGAAACAATGTCGTAACACCTGAACTTTTTTAGGTATCCTAGCAGCTCTTGAAGCCACAACAAAGGCATTCGTGTGAGAATGTTTCTTCAAAGTGTGTGGAAGTGTGTGGCAAAGAGTTCTAACTAAACAAACATATCATGAAAAGATGGACAATTGCTTCCTTGAAATATAGGAACTTTCTAAATCATAGAAACAAAAAACGCAACGCCAATTTCTCTTTATATTTACAAATATTGTAAGCATTTCAGACACTGCTGGCAGCATACCATTTGTAAATATTGCTATGTTGAGAATATACAACCCTTCACATGTCCTAGATTCTATCATCATCATCATCCAAGCCTTATCCCCAATTATTTGGGATGTCCTAGATTTTTTTTTGATAAAAAAAAAAATCTTTGGTAGGTCCTAGATTCTATAAAAAATAAAACCTTTGGTACGATCGGGACCCAGAAAAGAGTTGCTAACACGTCAGTAAAAGTCTACATTAATCGGATATACAAACCTGGTCTCAAATTTGTCACCAAGATGTCTACTCTCCCCAACAACTCAGTTAGTCATTTCGTCCTTCTGATCAGACATTTTAAGAATCAAGCATGATAGCAAGTTCCTCATTCTTAAACGATGTCAATTCTGATGATCAGAACGATACAATAAAGGAGTTTAAAGAAAAATGTAAAAATGATAGCGCAACAAGCATAATCCACGAAGCCTACAATGTGGCATGCTTGAGATCCTTGAAGTGCCGATTCCAGAAGCCCCACAAGAAGCATCCATCCTCACTTTCGTGCTATAAGAATATTATAACATAATTGAGAAAACATTATAATATATTTGCAACCTCAAGCAGAAAATATCATTAATTTGTTACCAAGTAACTTAGTGACACTTTTCCACAAAGAACATCCTTGTTAGGAATTCAAAACATGACAAGAATCTGGAGAAAAACTTTCAAGGTTGACCAATATAAGATATAAAATTTCTATTTTACTGGACTTAATCCTCCATGAAAACTAAACATATAGCTATATGTCATGACCAGTTCAAAGTGAAAATGGGGGAAAAGAAACGTGACTTTTTTGTCATCATAGAAGAAAAACAGGAGTCCAAATTCAAAGCACAAAATGATATGCCTCAATAAAGCCTTACAGAAACCAGAGGACTCCCTTTGCGGAAACCCCAATACCATAATCTGCATTTTCATTATACTGTGCATTTAACATTGCTATCAAGTATCAACATCTTAACAAAGTTTATTTTTATTATGTTGTGCATTATATTACCATACTCCAATAAATTAAAAAAATTCCAAATAAACTAAGTCACTGAAATTTCAAAAAACCAAGTCACTAAGAAAAGGGAAAGCACAAAATGCAATTTCTAATGAAGGAAAAGGGAAAGGTGGTCATACCAAAATGCGGCCATTTCGCTGTCGGGAACCTGCTCATAGAGTGTCTCGTAAAAAATCCTCAATGGGTCTCTCTGCAACACAGTAAAATTAAAAGTACCCATTTATCTAATTCCACCACAAAGAGAGGCACCCATGAAGAGAGGGGAGAGAAATAACAAAAAAAAAAATGACCTTAATAGAAAATGAGAGGGAGAAACTCAAGAACAAGGGGAAAAAGAAAAAGAAAAAAACTGACCTTGAGGGGGGGAGAGAGAGAGAGGGGAAAAACTGACCTCCTCAGGTGGGTCATGCCTCTGACCAGGAAAATCATAGGCCTTCTTCTGTTTCTTGTCATCAGTAGCGTACCCATTGCTCAATGGTGTCTGTTGTTTCTTCTGCTTCTTCTTCTTCTTCTTTTCTATGACCTTCTCCCCATCATATATAGAGAATACACAATAAGAAAAAGAAAATAGAGAACCCCCAAGACGCAAACGGAGGAAAGAGAGAGAACCTTTTCAGTCTTCTTGGTTTTTTTAATGGTAGTGGACTTGATTTCCTTCTTGCCATTGGCAAGAGGTAGAGAATCTTCAGATTCAACCTCCTCCTTCTTCACAGTTTTCTTAAGGGTCTTGGCCTTCTCCTGAGCGGACTTTATTTCCTTCTTGCCATTGGCAAGAGTGAGAGAATCTTCAGCTTCGAACTCCTCCTTCTTCACAGTTTTCTTGAGGAGGGTCTTGGCCTTCTCCTGAGCCATGTCCGTTAACAAACACAGAACTACTCTGGTCAAGATCAAAAGTTCCTTTTCTAACTGCGCACCTCTGCTATGTTACTGAAAAACTAAAAATAAATAGCGAGAAATTTACGAGGGGGAACTCATTTTTGAAATTTCTTTTTTGCGTTCAGGATGCAGCTAGGGTTGGCATAGCCGAGCGGCCCCCAGTCCTAGTCCCATAGGCCTGGCGCGACCCGATTGTCACCAGTAGGTGTGGCGATGGACCCGACCTGGGACACTCGGGTATACCCGGACAACTCCGGGTATGGGTCTAACATTTGAATCCGACGGATCGACTTCGACCCAAACTTTGTTCGGTTCAGGGTCCATGTTTGGTTGGACCCCACTTGTACCCGTAAACTGTTAGAGATTAAATATTTCAAGCCCGGTTCGTTTGGAAGTATTAAGGATCATATACAATATAAATTCATAAATGTCTTTAGCTATTAAACACCAAATAAGACAGCTTGAAATCTTACGGCGGTTTGTGAACTTGTTGCCAATAATTTGGATATATGATGGCAAAAAAAAAAAAAGACAAAAACAAAGCTTATAGTGAGGGTAGCAATGGACCCGATAGGTCCAACTTTTGAACCCGATGGGTCAGATCCGAGTCCAAAACCTAGACCAGAATACATTTGGGTCTAAATCTAAGGTCCAGCCAAACCAGACCTATACTCGACGCGTTACCATCCTTAGTCACCAGGCCCAAAAAAGCCATGGACAAGGCTAGGGCCATGTCAAATAAAATAATAAATAAATAAATTAAAGAAAAGAGTGTTAGGCCGGGCTGAAGCTCTTCCTGCCCAATGTGGTTGCCCGGCCCTCAGCCACAATCTGTAGCCCAAGCCATAGTTTTTTAGAGCAGGGCTAGCCAAGCAAGCTGCCAAGCCCATTGCCACCCTTGATGCGACTTCTATAATGCCTTTTCCTTGTAAAAAAAAAATAGAAAAAAAAAAAGGTAAAGTGTCGCCTTGAAACCTCCTTGAAATCTCATTTTGGATACAAAAAATCTCTATAATGGCTCTAAAAACGATTTTCACCATCTATTATGAAATTTGTAGCTTAAAGTCTTGTGTATTCATGAATAGTCGAAAATAGACCTCCTAACAATGTGTTACAATGTATATTATTTTAAGAACTTGAAATCTTAATATTTTTTTGTTATCATAATGGTCAACATTGAGATGATGTATTTGAAAGTTTTCCAACACTTGAAGCTGCAATTTTTTATGAGTTTTGGGGTAAGGCTTTACTTCTTTCCGCAAAGGCTTTATGGAAAACCGTTCCAACTTTTTATCATGTTCAAAATTGTCCGTTTTCACATTTAAATCTCCCAAAGCTAAACGGTCCAAATGAATAAAACTAATTTTAAATGGCGGTTAGATTATTAGATGAGATTTCGATCTAATTAATTATAACTAGCATGTACGCAGAAGGACTCTTAGAGGCCGAACCCACAAGTTATATCCAATTTTAATCCTAAACTATATAATTGGCAAAATGTTACATAGATATATGTGTTAACAATCTAGTAATAAACCATAATCGCTCTCTTACCCATCACAGAGCCCACCCTCTTTCTTCAAACCAGCAAACTAAAGCTCTCTTTCCCATTATGATAATAGAATTTCGGAAGAAGTTTATAAAGGTTGCAACCTTAAAATATAGAATTAAGGTCAACTTAAAAAACCATTAAAAAATATTATTTTGGTGTTGGAAAACTTTCTAATTGATCATCTCAACATCGAGATGTATGAATATGAAAAAATAAAATAAAAATACATCTTACAACATATTATTTGGACCTTCTATTTTCAATATTTTAATGTGTTTATAGATCTACTTGATTTGAATTAGTTTTGACGTTTAAAAATTTATAATTAGAAATAAAAATTGATGCTCAGGCCATCCTAAAAAAAGATTTATACCACAATTGCATTTTATGATAAAATATGGAGGTGCGCTTATTTGGATGGTTTAATGTTGCAATCTTATGCAGACCACACCCTAGAATTTATGACCAAGAAATGTGGAGATAGAGAAGTTAACCAACCGCCAGCCCAACTTGATGAAACGAGGAGTAGAAATTAGAACCTTATTCAAAATACAAAAGAGAAAGATCTCTTTCATTGATCAAAACATCACATTTTAGCGTAAAAATGGAGATAACCTCGAACAATGTTGGCTCTAAATTGCTAAATATGCTAATATCTTTATTGTTGGCTAGGTGTATTAAAACTTAGTAAACTAAAAAATCACCCGAGTCATATCGGAATAGGGGATGTCCAAATCTGGAGGGCCCCAAACTGGAGACTTGTCATGGTTTGCATTAGAACACTCAGTCTATTACACTGAGCGACCCGAATTTTTGGTCATACTTGGATGATTCTCGAGTCCCATTGATTTCTATGGGAATAACCCCATCTTATGTAAAATGGCTTTTATGGGGCCGAGATGATTGATTTGAAGGTTATCTGATGCCAATATTATAATTTTTGGTAATTTTTTAGGTGAAGCTTTATTTATTTTAAAAATTCTATGCAACATTTGATTTTTTTTTATTGTTTCATCTCCATTTAAGATTTTGTAGCTGAGTTCAACATTTTCAAATTATTTCTCAAAAAATGTTTAATGGGATTTGCCTTTTGTTTAAAGTATTCCCCACTTTTTTCATGCCATTTTTTAAGTATTTCCAACTTTTCATGATTGATTTTTGCTATTTTAGGTGTGTGTGATATCAACCGAAATGACCTGTTGCGTCCTTTACACAGCGATGGTGTTATAGGACCCCAACTTCCTTTGTGTTAGATATTGTGGTTCCTCGAGATACGGGTGGAGTGACCTTGCTAAGCCAATTTAGGGGTGGCAATAAACCCACCCGACCCAGGACTCGAGGGGTAGATCTGGGTAAGGATTGAATAGCTATCTTCATGGGGGTTTATCCTAAATTTAGTTGTTATTTCGGCAAAGAGCTCTGCAACCTTTTCAAAATCCCCTACATCCATGCAGTTAAGAGAGCATTGAAGGAATATGCCAGGGATTCCAAACTCATCCACATGGTAAAACATTTTAATGGCTTGCTCTACTATTTTAACTCGACCATAAGGCATAATACATCCATGTAAGAACTTTTTTGAATTTGATTTTAGGGTTTCTCTTCTGGTATTGCGTAAGATAGCGATTTCAGAAACATTCAGCTTTAGCGAGCTGCCTAATTGCTAGGTCTTGCAAATATCAAACCCTAATTGATATCAAACCTGGTTTGGGGATTCTTTGATTGAAAAACATAGGTGCAATAATGTTGAACATACACAAATACCGGTTTGCGCACAAAGAGACAGAGAGACTGCACAAATTTTTCCTTTTTACCATTTCAATCAATTGATTTTTATTTTTTTACCAGGTGACTCAGTACCCCATATGTCATTGAGAGGTATAAGAAGATTTAATGATGATTGAGGGGCATCTTATACAGCCATATGTGGGGGCTCAAAGGATCATTACTTTATCAAAAAATTACCATAATAAGGAAACCCTTTACTAAAATCATAGTATAATGCAATCACACTTCTAGAAAATCATATTTATGGTATTTGTATGAATCAAAATTTTGCACACACACTCTCTTCATCTCAATAATCAATCTAAAAATAATAAAATAATTTGCAA